GTAAAATCCAGTGATCAAATGGAAAACAATGTACGTACGTACCTTAAGTTTTGAAAACAATGAAGCTGGCTTGCAAGATTTTCAACGTACAAGGATCGGACCCAAATCAACAGATATTGAAAAAAAAGGAAGAGAAATCTGATATTTGTTAGTGCAGTGAGAAATTAACGATTAAGAGGGTAATCACGAATGATCTCGATTAGTATTGTAATGAGAGAGTTCGTGATCTAATTCTACAGAATTTTTTTTACTCGAAAAGAATAATAGTAAGTATATCTGTATCAGTATGAAAGAGATTGATGAATGTATTTTTTTTTATATTTGTTTGTAACAGAATGAATGGAATGTGTTAATTAAAATAATCAAATTCGGGTTTATAAGGGACATATATATATAAGTATAAACAATGTGAAAGAAGGAAAGAAGGAATAAATCGAATAATTAGTGACCACTGCAACTGTAAGAGAATTAGCAGAAGAGAATTTTAGTTAGATATTTTATGATATTTTAATTAGATACTGTTGAAACTGCACTGCTACAATATAGTAATAATTAATTCGATATTGTATGATAGTATTTTTTAATTAAGTAAGACAATTAAATATGAATTACTAATGACTGAAAAAAACAAGAGGAAGAAAAGTGCTTAAAATTAGGCGAAGTCAAAGGGGTTAAGTTTAGAATTAAACTAACCAAGTCTCCCCATACAAAAATAAAAACTAGATTTTTACCCGCACCAAACAATAGATTAAAATACCAAAAACCTATGTTGCACCAAGATGGATACGGAGACAAATGGAGACGGAACGAAAAACGGCGATACCAAAAATTTATAGATACGGGTACGACACATATACGTCAATAAATATATAAGAATAGATACCTATAAATAAATATATAAAAAAATTACATCATAAATTTTGATATAAAAGAACACTCAATCAATATAATAATAAAAATAGAGTTATTTTGATGTCAATAAACTAAAGTATAGATTACAAACATAGATGTATTAGAGATGAAAGGTCACGTCCCCATTAACAGCCGATGTCCCCAACATGTTAGATACGTTTTCTAAACGTTTTAGTGCCGTCCCCGAACCGTACCCGTCCCCGGGACGTTCTCGGACAAAACATTGGCTTGCGACTTTCTAAAACTCTGAGTCCGTTTTGTCTATAATAAAAAATACTACTTTTTCTGTCTCTTTTTATTAGATGTTTTAAAAAAAATTATTTGTTCCATTTTATTTGATTTTCTCATGTTTTTATGCAAATTTTTTATTAACTAAATATGTTATGAAAATGTGTCAAACGGTTAATTTTTTCTTTCTTGTTTGCGGTCATCTAAAATTCAGGACCGATTCTAGGTAAAGCGATGAATTTGAAGTTAGATTAAAGGGCAGGGGTAATAATGTTGATGTTTTACATGGTTTAAGCAATGGTATTTATAGAAGAAACAAAGTGTATGATGAATCTCATGCTTCTTGATCAGTTTTCAGATTTGACCATTGAGAAATTGAGACCAT